CATATAACCCGCGGGTTATATGGGTGAAAATACGGTAGATGAATTCTCAATTATCTGGCTCAGTTATCTAGCTCTGTCTGTGCTGGGGCAATGTGTACATTTCTGCTATTTAAAATGGGTACAGTAGGTGATGTTTACGAAGTTTAGACTAATTGCTTCTTAATCCTAACAAAAGAGGTCATTTCCTTCTAGTCCATTTTCCTTGCAAAATGTCCCCAAACATTATTCCCTACAGTAACTCCATAGACAGATAACTTTTGTAACTAGAGTGATTGTGAGAATGCTTTAGTAAAAATAAACTGTCTGATTTGTAGGCCAGAGCTTGTTACCTCATTCTTGCCTCCAGAATTGGTTTGTAAAGTGAACACTTCAGGTAAGTGACTATGCAGCTGTAATACTACAGAATGGAAAAATCTGGTGTTGAAAGAGGATATAGGCATTTTAAAAATAAATGCAAAGAAAAGGCTTTCATTTTCTTAATATATTGCATCATTTGACTTTTGAAAGCAGTACCACTGAAATTTGTGGTGGCTGTTGAATCATATGTATTCTATTTAAATTCAGATTTTGGATTAGCATTGATTTGATGATGTTACCTAATTTCACAATGAAACATTTGCAAGAAAACAACCAAGCTTGAAGAGAACTCCATAGTTTGTATTAGTACTACTTCTTTCTGTGGGTTTAGGATGCTGGTTAACTGAGATGCATCCATTAAGGACGCTCCATGTTTTCCAAAGTGTGTCCTCCTTGTTCTAGTACAAGGATGTCAAATACAAGACATGCAGGTCGGATCTGGCCCGCAGTATGGCTTGATAGAGCCCATGGGGCCATCCTGGAAAATGTAAGAGTCCAGCCCATGTGGCTTTGGCCCAGTCTACCCAAAGCGAAGAGGAAACATGCCAGCAATTTGGGGAGTGATGTCAAGCTGGCCATGCCCACCCAGTTGGCCACGGCCAGTGTGTAGTGTCAAGCTGGTTACGCCCCCCCCCCCAGTCAGCGCGTCCCCTCCCCTGAGGTCAAACATAGCCCTGATGCAGCCCTCAATGAAATTGAGTTTGACATCCCTGTTCTAGTAGAAAGATCATTGGAATAAGATCAGCATTTTTTTTCTATGATCAAGAAAACAACCCAAATACAAAAGTTTATCAGGTTTTAATTGCTTATATAACAGATGGGAGTTTTAGCTTAGTTAGGAAAGAACCTTTGTTTTGTCAACATTTAGTGGCAAAATATAATTGGTTATATAAATAAAAAACAGGTTATTTCTCTCCCCTCCCCCCAGTAGACTTAAAGAACCTTATTTTATTTAAGGCTCACTTGAATACTGCTTTGCTTCCATTCATCTCACTGCTATATCTTCCTATGTGCCCCTTGTCGAGGTCATCATAAAATGCAGCTTAATGGTAAACTCTTTGTTAGAAAAGACAAAAGCCATTTATTTTTATACTGTGCAAAAAGAGGAATGTTTCTCCACCTTTAAATCTGCTGGCAGAAATTTAACATATTCATATTTTATTAATGATGTTAATGATGTTAACAGTTTTCATGTATAGCTTCCTAAATCATGCAAAAACTAATGGTTTTTAATGTATACAAATAGTAAACGTCTCTGTAGGCTCTCAGAGTCCCAGCAGCTCAAACTCTACACGAAGTCCTGTAAGCAACTCTAAAGTTCCAGAGATTGAAGTTACTGTAGATGAAGGTATGGAATTCGCCCAATTATTTCCCCTTAGGGGGATAAATGTTTGGGATTATGTAGGAAATAAGTCCACTTGGAAATTTTTATCAAAACACAGCTTAAAATGACCTGGATGTTTTGTTTGAAAAAAAAAAACATTCTTAGAACCAGTGTTTTATGATGATCTTGGAGAATTTGAAATGATCCATTTCAAGTCTGAAACTTCATATTTTAACTATCAAACATTCTGAATATTGCTGCTTAAAACAGATAATTTTGTTTTAACCTGGACTTAGAATTCATAGAATGCACATTCTTTACTATAAATTTTGAAACTCAAAAGTTTGCTAAAAAATTGACATGTTTTGTCTTCTCTTGGAGAGCAGTTTCTGAATCTTACCCTATCAAGAGAGTTTTCTATATAGTTCTTAATTTCCCCACATGTTCTTTTCCCATCAAGCAATCGGTCAACTTGCATGAACAAAGCAGTTGATGGAGCATTGCAGTCTTAAAAGGAATTATTTAGATAGCTTTCTGTTTTTGCTTTTTAAATATATGCTTTATTATTCAATTGCAACTACTGTGAGAATAGTTCAGGGTAGATTGCCTCTTGTAATGTGTCTTTTACATTCTCAGATGAAGGAGTGCTATGCAGACTAGGTTTTTAGAAAAACACAGGAAATTTTGACTGCATATTCAGGATACGCACCATGGAATTGAAACTTAAAGCTAGTTCTAAAATGGAATATATTTGTTATGTTTCAATAGGTCCTGCTAATAGGGTATCAACCTCAGATGTTAGAACTAATCCTCAAACCAATGGATCCAATACAGGCTTTAAGCCAAGAGGAAGAGAGTTTTCTTTTGGTAAGTTCATAAGGAAATTTTCTTTTATGTTAAATTAAGCTTCTTAATTTTGTTAATTAGAAGGTGGGATATTTACATGTCTACTAGGTTTTGCATTAACACATTCTATATATCTTCAACTATCCATTCTGGTTTGCAGCTCAGTAAATTAGATGTTGGTTGTTTCTTGGTAGTAAAAAACCTTTGACATTTCAAGGTTTTTAGCCAAAATATTAAATCAATGAGGGAACAATGCCAATAAACAGTGTAATTTTATTATATATTATGTGTTGTGGAATCTATCAGAAACTTGTTCTGAATAAATCCATCTGAGTAATAAGGGAAACAAAAATATAATAGGATTGAATGAAATAATTTCCATTATATTTTGACAGAGGCCTGGAATGCCAAGATTACTGATTTGAAACAGAAAGTTGAAAATCTTTTTAATGAAAAATGTGGTAAGGGATTTTTATCTTATTAAATAATATGCTTAGCACTTTAGAAAAAATTATTAGGAAAATAACTAAATTCAGTAAAGCATCAACTGTGTATGTAATTGAATTCTCATTTTCTGAAATGTTTGGCTAAATAAAATGACTTAATGATATAGAAAATAAAATTGAACAAGCTCCAAATGTTCCCTGTGAAAGGAGTTCTCTATTGCTAAGAATGTTCTCTTATTCCATCTAGTCTAACCATACAGTGGTTAAATACATTCATAATTCTGCATCCTGATTCTCAAAGAATTAAATATGTATTTGGCTATGTCACTTCACATTGCAGATAAGAACTCTCATTAGATAATACTCAGCAAATCGTTTATTTCCACTTATATTTACTACTTAAAACATTACTTTTTAAATTTTGTATTTGCTTAAATAAATAGAAGAAAAAAACAAAAATGATCAGAAAAAGGACAAAAGACCAAAGCATTATACTTAAAAGGCTCAGTCTTGAAACGGAGCCCATACACTGCAGCATGCATGCAGAAACACTACAACAGTTTGTGTTACAGCTTTAAAGCTTCCTAACTTTAGTGTGATATAAGGGTCCACTGACTATAATCCATACAGAAGATTAATTCCTTAATAACAGGCTAACATTCCAATCTTCTGAATTTTTTTTAAAGACATTGCCTATTGCTACAAATTGTGTTATTTCAGAATTATAGCTGCAGTTTTAAAAAGTAAATATATATTTACCTACATGCAATGTGCCTACCTTGAGATTGGAATAGAAATACTTCATGGTGGATGAATCATATCTTTAATTCAAGCATTATTATCCTGCTCTTAGCTCAAACAAATTGCTTCATTCCTTGATTCACCCATTTTGGCTAAAACCTACCAAACAGATGTGAAAAACTTATTAAATGGAAAACAAATCACTCACACATATTATTTTATTCCAGGGGAAGCTCTTGGACTGACAGAACCTGTTAAAGTTCCTTTTGCGCTTTTTGAATCTTATCCTGAAGATTTTTACGTTGAAGGCCTTCCTGAGGGAGTGCCATTCCGTCGCCCATCCACTTTTGGCATTCCAAGATTGGAAAAAATTCTCCGAAACAAAGCTAAGATAAAATTTATCATTAAAAAGTAAGCCAGATGTAATGCATAACATACAAATTGTCTTTCTACAAAAGTTAAATAAAGATTAGATTCAGATTATTCAATTACAGATTCCTTAAACAGTTGTGTTTTAATATATGAAGGGTTGAACCTTAGGCCTTCCTAAAAGAGCAGGGCTGTCCAAATAATCAGTTTCATAATATTGAATTATACTCCTCAAAAGAAGAAAGGATTCAGGTATGTGAACATTTACTTCCTTATTTTTTATTAGAAATAGTTGGCAGACTTACCTTTGGAAACATTGGAAAAGAACTTTATCACTGTCCAGACTACACATATGTGAGGAAACTGAATTATAGAATATGCCAAAATTCCTCTTAATGTGTGTGGCTATTTATTTATCGCATTAGATCAGCTGAAGTTACATGGTAGTTTGAATAAACTCTCTGTTCATTTATAACTTCCCAAACAAGCTACATGTACTGCTATATGAACTTCCTGTGTTAATTAGTAAAATAAGAGACTTTAATTCTTTTGATTTCTCTATAAATGAATGCAGAATTATTCAAATTAATTAAATGTAAGAAGTAAAATATTATTAATAAGAGTCGTGGTGGCGTAGTGGTTTAATAGAATGCAGCACTGCAGGTTGCTTCTGCTAACTGCTGGGTGCCAGCAGTTCGATTCACTAGAATTTAGGCCTTATTTAGTGAAATCACATCACATTTCTGAACCCAGCTAGGCTGAAAACCTGCTCACTGTTTTTCCATGTAACATTTATCCAGCCCTTCTGTAGTTGCCCAGAAGAATGAGGATGAAACAAAACCAGGCATTGAATGAGTAATCCACACTTTCATTCTGGGGTGATAGCAATAAATGAGCACCAGGAAACGGCTTTTAACTGGGAGGGTTTGGAGCTATATGAGCTGAAAGATCCTCAAAGCGTGACATTATAATGAAAGTCTCCTTTTAGGGTGCCCATAGAACAGCTGAAGTATTCCCTGAGTTTTGCTCTAATCTTTGGCTCAAGGGTTACCTGGCATTTCTGAGCTTCTGCAAATGGGACAGGGTTTGAAAAGGAAACAGGAATGATTGTGTTGAGGCAATAATTATCCTTGTTACCCTGTGATCAAATTTAATATTCTACCCTTGTGACACTTATATTGAGCTGTTTGTAATTTCTTTCCCCCTGCTTGTTGATTTTAATTCTTTATTTTCTTATGCCAAATCTTAACTATGTTTCTCGGCAGGCCAGAAATGTTTGAGGCAGCAATTAAAGAAAATGCTACTGCTATTCCAAATCCTCAAAGTGAGTTTCACTTTTGCTTTGGCGGTAATTCTCTTGCATCAAAAGTTCACAGCTGTGTTGTTTCTTTCGGGAATTGGATGCTCTTAAAGAGGGACATAGATAAATCTGCAGTTTTTGGAAGAGTCCCTAGAATTTGCTAGAGACTTTGGGCCAATCTATTTCCAAACCCAGGTAGTGCTTAAGTTACAATGGTAATTAGGACCAGAATTTCTAAGCGACTGGTCAGAGCATGATGATAGGTGACTGCCTAATTTAGTAAGAACAGTCCAGCAGTCCCTATTCCATCATTAACCAAGGCAAGGAATCATCCCAATCTAAGCCTCTCCCAGTTTGGTCTCTCCCAACCATGACTCTTGGTAAAGTAAGGAACTGACTGCAACTCTTCCATCCACCTATCTCCCGCCATCTCTGCCAAGGTAGCTGGTGCCTATATCTGGCCTTCTTCCCAAGGTCCCTTGTTATCTTGTCCAAATCGTATATAGTTTTCTCATGAAGCTTCGGGAGGCTGCACGTGATTTGGACAAGCCTGCATATGGTTTCATGAAGAAGGCTCGGTATGGCCAGCAGCTGCCTCTTGAAGATGGAAAGAAGAAGATGGCAAAGGTCAGCTGGGAGGCAGCAGGTCCAGCAGAGCCCAGGACCATAGAGATGGCACAATACAGAAGGAGTGCCCCGGCATTTTTAAATGCAAGTGGGCTGCCAAGCACTTGAATTTTAATTATGTGACTTCAAGACATAACTACCATTTGTTCAGGACTACTGTAACTTTGAATGCTAACTGAATGAATGGAGGTTAAATGAGGACTACTACTATATCATGTGAGAGGCCCCCAGATTTGATACTGAGCTCCCACAATAAAAATAATACATTCATTAAGTAATATCTCCATTTCCTGTCTATTATGGTGTTCTTTCCATGCAAAATTTCAGTAGACGAGCATGGGAGTGGGCACTGCACATCTGAGCCGACCAGTAACATTTCAATCAGATTTGTGATCCAAAATGGATCTGCAGCTACAGGGAAATAGCTTCAACATCAGCTGTGGTTTGCTGACATTTTGCTTCACTAATTATTTATCCGGATCTCTAGCTGCTATTCTGTATGCTGGTCTGTATTTCCTTTCTAGTGGTTTTAAAATTCAAAAGCTGCAGATTTCCGCAGCACTTTCACCCTTTTGTAGTAGGAAACACTGATCCGGTTCTAGTTACAGCTGTCATCTTTCATCTATGTAATCTAACTCTTGCGTAGTCAGTTAGTGTCTCTGGTTTATTTGTTAACCTTTTCACTGTGCACTTTCATTATTAAAAATGGAATGGGGTTTGTTTGAGTGGTTTCAAGCTAATGTTTTGCCTCTGCATCTTTTCTAAGGAAGAACCAGCTTATGTAATACTGTGATAAACGCTGTAAGTGTGCCTGACCCAGTGGTGAACACAGCTGCTGGAGTAGAAGACCTTAACATCATTCAGGTGACAATACCAGGTACTCTGCCCACTTCCTATAACTGAGAGGTTTTAAAAACTGTTGAGTAGCACTAAAAAAAAAAGATAACAGCAATTAATAGTATTTAGAACATTACTTTCCTTTGGACATAAAATAGACTCTCGTGTGCTTTAGGCTAACCATGAATAAAGGTTCTACCCAGTGGGCACTCAACATAATGCCCTTGGGTCTCCTTTTTTACATTGGTACTAAAAAAAAATGACTTACAACACATGGCCGAAATTACAGCCATTGCAGTGCCCTCATGGTCATGTGATTAAAATTTGATGCACTCACTCCCCAGCTGTCTGTCTCCCTCCCACACTCACACAATCTATGCCTTTCTGGCTGCCCTGCATCCTGACTTGCGGGAGGGTAAGCAGTCCCAGAAACACACTTGCCATTCCCCAGCAAGTGCCAGCAAGCATTCACCCAACTACCTTATCACCCCAGTCCCCTCAAGCAACCAGTAAGCATTCATTCACTCAGCTGTCTTTCTGTTCCCCACACTAATCTTTTATCTTTTGCAGCCAAAGCAGAAGTGGTTCACTACCTGTGCTGTTTCCTTTTCAGGCCACCTTCTTTCACAAACATTTCTTATACGTGACTAAAGCTGGTTTACACTACCTTTGTTGATTCCTTTTTGAGCCCACATTCTCCCAGCACATGTGTCTAAAACTCTGCTGGGTTAGAAAGCTGCCTTGTGTAGGAAACATTCATGGCAGAAACTGGGTCTGAAAAGGTGATAGCAAAGACTGGGTTCCAATTTGGGTGTCCTGGGTGCAAAAGATGAAAGGTTGGTGTGGGGAACTGAAGTGGTGTGCTTCTATTTTTCATCTTTTGCTGGGTGCAAAAGACAAAAAATTGGTGCAGGTGACTAGGAGAGTAATAACTGCTCCTGTTTAGATGCCCAGTTCAGTGCCCATTGGAACACTCTGTCTGCAGGCAAACTTTAAGGGAAGGGGAGACATGGGACAAATTATTTCTGCATTTTGTTTTGAGTATTGGTATATATATGATGTCAGTGATTGGTTGGAAATTAAGGTTGAGATGTTTTGTTTTTCCCATTGAGGGCAGCTTTGTTTGTGTTTTCATTGTTAGAAGGACACTTAAGGCTTAAGCTTCCCTGTTTGCTCTGATTTCCAGTGCTAAACAGCAGGACGTCTGCCAAAAATTTTCAGTGCTTTCCAACAAGACCTGTGCAGAGCTTGGGGATTCTTGGGGAACTACAAATTGGTGTGCTCTAACCCACAATGTAGCACAGTATGCCTGTACAAGAGATGCCTTGGGCTCAAGAACTCTGCTCTCCTCTCTTCCTATGCAGCTAGTAGAAATTCCAACACTTTTCTTCTCATTTTACTTATCCACAGTTTGCTTTTGACTGAAGTTAAAGATTTGCTCAACTGCAATGTCTTCAGGAACTGTTTTGAAATCCAGTCATATGAAACAAACAAACAAAACATGAATTCCTTTTGGGGTATCTTTTTAGGGGGCTACAAACATGTGCCCATTGGCAAGAAATCAGTCCCCACCTTAGTAATGTAGCACAGTTGAGCAGTGAAGTGGATATGTTCTGTGCTTCTGGTATTCCTTCTCTCTTGTTTCTTCAAGCCCCAAAGAGCAAATCAGCTGGGCCAGGATTTAAGCACCATCCACTACCAGGAGATAGAACAACCCCCAATAGTTCCCCTTAAACTGATCATTAGGTTGTCTTAAATCTTCAAAAATCATTTTAAAAACCATAAAAATACAATAATTACATTTCTTTACATTTTGCAGATGATGATGAGAGAACCTCCAAAGTAGAGAAGGCCCGGCAGCTGAGAGAGCAAGTGAATGATCTCTTCAGTCGAAAATTTGGTAATTAGTGCATTTCCTCTTCAGAAAGTCAAAATAATTGCCCTCTCAGCCTTTGAATCCATCGTTTTGCTGAAACAGCAAAACAATTTCACCATTTTTGAAGTTCAAATACAGGGGAGATGTATAAACAAAGAACTTAATTCTTGTTTTGTTTTCTTTTCTTTTAAGTAACTGTGGATCCATAAAGCACATGCTCTGTGGTAAAGAATAGTTTCCTTTAGCAAGCCTCTCCTAGTTACAGTAGCAATCGGTTTTAGAGTGAGTTAGGCGGATTTATGTGGAATCAGGTGCATTTCTTATCAAAATCATTGCACAAAATGGCAGATGGGTCTGTGCTTGAAACTACTGATAAAATGTCCCAAAGGTGTTTTTTTCAAGAGGCAACGGGACTTTCTTGGATGAGAAGCGAAACATCTTCAAAGAAAAAAACAGAATGTCCCGTTGCCTCTTGAAAAAGCACCTTTGGAACAACCATGACTTGGATGACTGAGATTCTCCATACACATTTACTGATAACACGGAGGGTGGCAATGAGACCACAGAAAAAACATTGACTGGGGTGAGAGGCATTCAGGATTCCTTAATGCATCTATGAAGAACTGTATGCAGTGGTAACGTGATTTTCTTCTAAGCTGCTACATGAGAAATTCTAACATTCAGTTTTTAACTTAATGTTAGAATAAGTAAGAGCAACACACACAAACACGGTTTAAAAGTAGAATTTACTTAGAACAGGGTCACACACTCTTCCCTTCACAAAACTGGTGCTCACAGCCAGCTGCCTTCTAGTTCAAGGCCCAAACATTTAAATTACACTTGCTCATGTCTTCCCCCTACAATGAATCCTACCTCCAGAGCCACTACTCACCAGGAAGCATCTGGTGCTACTGTGACAGCTCAAGGTTCTTGCTCTCTTTTGCAATGATTTCCCCATCCCAATTTGTTCTATTATTGACTTGGTTATTTTTAATGCTTTGGAAATCAAAAGTAAAGCTGAAGCACTAGTATCAAAATGATTTTAAGACTGTTGCTAAGTTTTCTTAGCTCTTAAAAGAAATCCTATCCCAGGCCGTATGGAATAACAATCAGAGAAAACAGCCACAAATCTGCAGCAGAAATATTATGACAGTGCACATAGAAAATGAAGACTAAAGACTTTAGGGAATAAAAAGGAATAGACCTGGGATTAGAAAGAAGCACTAGGTAAAAAGCACTTTGGGGAAGATATGCCAAGATGGGGAGCCGTTTCCTTAGCAGCCATTGGCCATACCAAACAGGGCAGAACTTCCATCCAACAGTCCTATCTGGCACAGGAGAAGAAAATCCTTCAGTGTACAGTGTATAATTAAGATACAGTGTTGTTTGATACTAAGAGTGCATTTTCAGATTTGATCTTTTATAATGATGAGCTTTGATAACTACATTTTAAAAGCAACTGTTCCTCTGAACAAAAATAATAATTGCTGAGAAGCAAATAATAGGCAGAAGTTATTACTTTCATTTCCTGATCAGGAAGTTCACTATTATGATGAAACGTATGTGTGCATGATGGATCTTATCAGGATTTATTATTATTTTTAATTATGAATAGGTCATGGGAGGTTTTTTTTAAAACCACACTGTTACTACCTTGAATGAACAAATCAACATGTAATTAAATGAACATTTGGTTCTTCGTTGTGTTAAAAAATAGTCATTTGAAGTTTTTTCTCCCAATACTGTTCTTTCTCATAACTGCTATGCAGTTACTGTATTTTTTAGAGTATAAAACGCACGCGCACGCACACACACGAAAGTGGATGAAAATTTCTGTGTGTCTTATTCAGAATGGGCAGCGGTGAACTGGCTGCGCTGAACAGGCCGCAGCAGCGGTAAACAGGCAGTGGCAAAGGGGTGCTGAATGGGCTGTGGCAGCAAAAGGGGTGCGCTGGTGGCAAGTGGGTCGCGCCGATGCTGAATGGGCCGTAGCAAATGGGATGGATCTTTCCCCCTTGTTTTCCTCCCCCAAAAAGCTAGGTGTGTCTTATAGTCTGAAGCGTCTTATACTCTAAAAATATGGTACATTCCAAATATGTTACCTATTCCTCATTCATTTTTATCATCTTGTTCCCAAGGAATATGCACACATTGCAAAAAATACCTCTGAACCCAGAACCGTTTACTTGCCATCTTTGATGAGCTCCTTTTTTCTCTTCTGTAGGGGAAGCTATTGGTATGGGATACCCTGTGAAAGTCCCATACCGAAAAATCACTGTCAACCCTGGCTGTGTGGTGGTGGATGGAATGCCCCCTGGTGTATCTTTTAAAGCTCCCAGCTATCTTGAAATCAGTTCCATGAGGAAGATTCTGGATTCTGCAGAATTTATTAAATTTACCGTCATTAGGTATGTGACTTTCAGCGGTGCATATTTAGTGTAACCTACGTATTTTAATTGTGGATTGGAAGAAACTGTTGTAGATCAGGATGTTGGGTTGGGCTCTCAGTACCCTCAGGCTGGGAAAAGCCAGCGGTCTTCCCAGTGGCAGGCAGGATGTTAAGAGAGCCCACCTTGTCCTCTTCTAGCCTCTGTGTCTTCAGCAGGCCAGCCCTTCTGCAGAACTCTTAAAAGAGGATGTGGTGACTTCATTGGTAATTGGCCTAGAGAATGGACCACTGTCAAAACAGTTCTAAGAAATTTTGAAAGATCAGGAGGGAAGGTTCCCTAAATTGAGGCTTGGCCTGGAGATGAACAATTCTGCATCTGACTCTGACTTGTAGAACTCTCTTCATATTCTTAGGCAGGAAGTCCTCAATTTGCAACCATTCACTGAGTGACCATTTGAGGTTATAACAGCACTGAAAAAAGTGACCTACAACCGCTCCTTACACTTATAACTGTTGCAGCATCCCACAGAGACCTGATCAAAATTCAGAGGCTTGGCATGTATTTAGAACAATTGCAGTGTCCCAGGGTCACATCCTTGCCATTTCAACCTTCCCAGAAGGCTTCTTTGTGTGGGGGGGAGGGAGGAGAGATACCAGATTCTCTTGATGACCATATGATTCATTTAACAACTACAGTGTTTAGCTTAGTGGCCATGGCAAAAAGATCATAAAATTGGGCACAAGTTAAAGCTGCCTTGCTTGGCAGTAGAAATTCCAGTTCCAATTGTGGTCATAAGTTGAGGATTGTCTATAATTTGTAACCACTTTAAGTAGCGCAGAATTGGAAGATCAACTCTTCTTTGGTATAATGGTTAGAATGCTTTATAGCTATCAGGCTTTGTATAATCCATCTTGAAAAAGGATTTGACTGACAGCTTCTTCTCTCATCCCTGCTTAAGACAAAGGAGAACTGATGTGAGGAGATATTTCAGTATCAGAGATAAGTGTTTTGTCCTTGAGGTTTGCCTTGGGTAGAGGCAGAAATAGAATTTTTGGAATGCTTGCAATCTAGGATGGAGATAGCCAAGTTCTGGAATTCAAGTATAGTTGTTTTTAAAAGGATAAATACAGGTATGGTATTAGGTATTGAAAGGAAAATGGCAAAGGTGATAGAATTAAACAGAATTCGATAAAATAGGAAATTCGACGATTATTAGTTTGAACTGGGCATGAAGATATAAAACTAGGGCTGTGTATGTTTTTTATGTTGAATATTTCTTATTGGACTTGCTGAATGATTTAGGAATTATAGTATTGGTAGAGCACAGTTGAAGTTTCTAGATTCCATTAATTCAACTATTTGTTGCATTTATATCCTGCCTTTCCTCCAGGAGCTCAAGGCCGTCTACATTATCCCCCTTCAATTTTATACTTGCAACAACCCTGTAAGGTATGTTAGGCTAAAAGTCACCCAGGGTATTTTATGTCGGACTAGAGATATGAACCTGGGTCTCCACATTCCTAATCCAACACTCTAACCACTATTCCACACTGTGCTTGGTGGCTAGGGATGAAAGAAGTTACAGTCACATATTTGGAGGGCATCAGATTGAAGAAGCCTGCATTAAAGTAACATAGAAAAAGAAAATGACAGTTTTTGAAAATTAAGAGGCTTTATATTGGTTCTAAAATTGGACGCTAAAAACATTTCGTGGAAGTCATCAGTGGAAATTTGGATTAAATAATTTATTTCTGAGCATTGAAATGTTACAATGTTTTCCAACAGACCATTCCCTGGACTTGTAATGAACAACCGTAAGTATTTCATTAACAAAATCAATCTTTATACAATTTTACTAATTGCATTAATTCATTTTACTGTTGTATACTGCTCCGGGCAGTGTACAAACAGCTATGCATTTCTGTCATTTCTATAGTCAGTTTAGAAGTTTTTTCTGCTGTTTTACCCATTTTAGAAATAATCCATCATTTCCTAAATACAATACAGTATGTCACATAGCAATTCAGCAATATGCTGAAGTATAAATTTCTCAAAAATTCTTTATCTGTAGTTGCTTTTCATTTTGATTTGGCTATATCAATCAGCATCTATAGTTCAATCCTACATATTATTTTATTTTAGAAAAATCTCTAACCCTTCGAAATTATAAGTGGTTCAAATGTATCCAAAGATGTTATTGCAGAAAAGGGAAGTGATTTTAATGAGCTCAACTTTTATACAGACAGCAACATTGCTCTGGTGTTTTTCCTATTTGAACTGCCAAAACATTTTAACAGTTTGCACCCCGAAATTGAATAATACTATATCTCTACGAATGACCTTCTGGTAGTTCTGAGGGGCATTGCTTGATAAAAGTTTGATTCTGATCCTGTCCATTCTAGAAATTACTGAAAAAGCAGAAGCAGAAGTCCCAGCAGCCACTGTGCCAGCTCCTGAACAGGTTATACAAGGTAAATTTTGCAGTTATATTCATGGCTTAGTAATTCCAGCATGAGTTCTAAGGAAGCTTGTGCTCATCACAGTTCAAGTTTCATGTGGTTATTATTATGTTAATACAATGCATTCTAATTTTTATTTATGTTGGAGGAGATAGCCCAACCCTCCACTGTAGTATTGTGGTATCTAGAAATAGAGTGATGTCATTTTAGATACTCTTCCATTATAAAAGAGGCTTTAGAGACTTCTGTATAGAGTGAAAACAGTCATTCAAAGGCTACAGTCATTGACAAGACAATTTGATAAAAGTTGGCTACCAATATAGAATTAATACCAATATCTATATTCTGTACATATTTTCTTCTAGAGCCAGTTGAAGCAGACCAAATAGTACAAGTATCTGTGGAGGAAGGTAAGGCTCTGTGATCTAATGAGAAGAAAGCAGTTGCTATTTGGATATGCATGTCATGTCCATGAAACTAAAAATAAAGTTAAATCAGTTTTACACCCTTTGTAAACAATCTTGCTAGCTTTTCTAATTATGAATCCGTGACCATATAGTCATACTTGGGTTGAGTGGCATCTCATCCTTAAATTGCAGTGGGTTTTGTGACTCATATCCCATTTGCTGCATTTCTTTCTTTCTTTCTTTTTTGAGCTACTCTTTTGGAGTTTATGAAGATAATTGTATTAGCATCAGGGAAACTTAGCAGCCCTTCTGATTTGTTAATCTTTGGATAAATAGAATATAAGCTGTCTGTGTCTCTTGTTTTTCAGTGTCCTTTGTGTTGTCTAAAAGCAGCAAATACTCTTTGTCTCCACAGATTCAGTACAGACTGAAGAACACTCTCAAATAAAGCAGGAGCCAGATCCAACGTGGTAGACCTGACTTGCATTAGAGTAAAGGACAGTCATAACACGAAGCAGAGGGGTGGGTGGTATTCAGATACTTTTCTAGGTAGGAAATGGACCCCCGACTGTTGCTGTGAATGCAGAATCTATGATCTGACTTCCATTTATATTGGTCCTGTAACTATGTAGATCACTTAACTTGGTGGAGTCCCTCTTACAGTCTTTTAAGTTGTGCTCCTTTTGTCCTTGCGCCACTTGCTTTGACTTCTAGTCCTCCTGAACCTTTAGAGCAATCTTCCACACCCTTTATGCCCTCCGTTTGTTTTGGATGGCATCCTCTCTGCCCATTGGCTTTGCTGGCTGGGGCTGATGGGTGTCAGAGTCCATGTCTGGAGGGCTTGAGATACCTAACAGGAACCAAGTTAAACTGAATGAAATATGTACAGTATGCAAAAATAGCCATTATTTTCATAGGGCTTCTAGTAGCAGTTTATTTAACTTCCATCTCTGCCATTTTGTTTTTTCCTCCTCTATCTCCAATCAAAAGCAAAAGCATCAAGGCTTGAGAAGAGTTTGTTGGGATGATTCTGGCCTGTGTAATATAATTGTAGAAGAGAAGTACCTTCTGTCTGTCTGTCCTGTCCTAACGTCTATGGAGATTCTCAATCATCCAGGTCACAGTTTTCCCATAGGTGCTTTTCAAAAGGCAACTGGACTTTGGTTTTTCTTTGAAAACATTTTGCTTCTCATCTGAAGAAGCTTCTTGGATGAGAAATGAAACGTTATCAATGAAAAAACAAAGTCCAGTTGCCTTTTGAAAAGCATCTCTGGGACATCCTATCCTAACTGATCCCATTCCTCCCCCCCTTCCTAGATAGAAATCTCTACCTGGGTCAAAGGTCCTTGGGAATTGTTACAAAAGAGTGATATCTTCAGTCCCAGGCCTACTTGAGAAAAGAGGCCGAGCACGTAGCTCACGGTTGTTACTTTTTTGCTTTTGGTAATAAAAATCAGCAGGGATTAGCAAATAAATAAATCTGCCTCCTAGGTGAATAGCCCCTAGATGCATTTTGATCTTTTTTTCCCCTTGAAAAAGGATATCCACCATAGTTCAGATTAATTTAAACTAGGTGGGGTGGGAGTTGAAATTTGTCAAATTTTAATTTCTCTTTCGTCTTTAATGGCTAATTGGATAATAGTATCTGTATATTTGAAATAATTTTTTCCTATGATATATCTCTCAACTCATATGTTTTTAATAAATAAATAAATAAATAAAAAAACCGGTTTCCTCAGCTGTGGTTTCATTTGAACGTATAAAAAGAGTATGATGGTGGGATTCATATCATAATATGGCGGGAAACGAAGCTGGGCTTCTTAATGGGGATAGTAAGGCCAGGTTTTGTGACCTGTCCTGCCCTCTGTCCCACAGATTCACCCCAAGGGAGGAGGTCCTGTGGCTTTTGTACAGTAGGATCAGGTCTCATTTCATTTCAACAGCCACTGAATCCAATACATTAACCCTTTCAGGCCCCTCTTCAGCCAGCACCGATTCTTCTTTAGCCAGCACAGGTGGCAAGAGACGAGGCAAACTTCCCTACCCTGAAAATTCTGCAATATTGCAGTGGTTAAGCCACGCGGTGCCCAAGGCATGACTGTCTAAAGGCTTCCTAGAAATCTAGGAAAGGGCACAATTGATTCACTAGAGGAAGCTGTATAAAAGCCACAGCTGCTACCTGCTCATCCAGCAGGACCTGTGAACACAGAGGAAAAAAACCCCAAATTGCACACATCCTTGTACTATTATTACATACAAGGTTAAAGATGGAATGTACCCAGATCTCAGTATCAGTAGGACTGAGTCTGAGATGGTTGCTACCGTTGTGTTTCTTCCATCTTCTGACCAATGAAGTTATAGGCAGGAAAGGGCAGAAAATTATTAATTCTCTGACTACTGGCTGAGTCAGATTTCCTGCAAATCCAGGGATAGTTGAAATCTCCCATTGCCAGTATCCACGCGCCTCTTCGAAAAAGACCTCCTCCGTATCTTCCACTCTTCCAGGCGATCTGTTAAAACAGTCCCCCGGCAAATACTGTTTTTGTTTCTCTCCACCTCCTCTTACCCAAACACTCATCTGGATCAGCAGGTTGCAGTTAATGAACTTTGATATAGCTGTATTGCTTCGTTAAATTTTGAGGATTTCTGACTCCAGATCACCCTTTTACATTTTAAAAACTAAGGAAACATCCCCATTAATTGGAGAAAAAGTACCATGTACGTTCAGAAAAAGCATACAATATAAATACAAAAAATGCACCTGATGACTTAACGCCCACCCTACCACAACTTGGGAGAACTGATCTTCAAAGACATTTGAAATTTCTTCATGGAAGGAGCCCTATAATGATGATATTTAGAGGACTGGGACCACAACAGAGACCACTCCCTAGTTCTGATGGTTGATGCTGTATAGTAGGGGTCTCCAACCTTGGCAACATTTAAGACTTCTGGACTCCCAACTCCCAGAGTTCCTCAGCCAGCAAAGACCCCT